AGTAATTGCTACCTACATTTTCTCTTCACTGAATATGAAACTGTTGAAACAACGCCCACAAGCTGACACCTTTGACTGAATTGACATTTGTTACTACAACGCAGAAAGGAAAGAAGTATCTCACATTTTGTTTGAGTCGACTCCTTAAGTAAGTATATATTTCAGTCCTGACAGAAAGTCTATCGTGTTACGAGTTCAGTTCTAACACAAAGGCTAGTGATGTTCGATATATTTCAAACACCCCCTCTCATCCTAAAACGGGCAAGAGTGAGAAACTAGGATCACGCGTTCCTTGAAACTGTTTACATAAATGACATGTAGCAGCGGGAATACAAAGACTGGCAAACACATTCTGTACCTCAAAGGTCCGGGAAGACAGTTATCGAAGCTGGGCGAATCCTGTAATGACCGGCTGGCTACATATAATTTTTACTTCCTAAGGAGTTTTCAAATTTTCTTGAATATGTACTGGTTTGACGGCTATGTACGTTTGATTGTTTGATTTGATCGCAAGGAATGTTGACATGAAACTGTTTCAGTGGATACAGTTATTGGAGGCTTTATTGGAGGCAGTCATCATCTGTGTGAGGGTGACATTTGATGTGACAGGAGTAATCCACTCCCCTGTTTACCAAGTTGGAGGCATCGTCCCTGTGTCCTCTGAGATAGTGGCAAGTGTGGGTGGGCGTTAGATCATACGGCGGGACTAAAAGTACATATGACCAGGCAACGTTTGTCAGAAAGAGAGTCGTACAAATCACAGCAAGCGTTTTTGAAATAATACACCAACTAACAGGTGCACATGAGCAATCATGGTATTTGATGGTATCGGATCCAGCGCATGTTTTGTGTGAGCACATCTAAGATAATGGCCCTAGATATGTCATAGTATGTTTATTTCCTAGGCATATACGTACTTATGAAATACACAATGCCATTTTAGAAAGTGGTCAAATGTAACGTATGTTATATTTGGGATTACACTTTCTTAGTAAAGTACAGATTCTAGTACTTTTTGGGGGTTGAGTCCCATCCGGGGTTCGAACCCACACCCTCAGAGTTAGGCACCTAATCGCCAGCACACAAAGTCAGACACCTAGACCACTCAGTCTAGGCGCCTGACTTTGTGTGTGCTAACGATTAGGTGCCTAACTCTGAGGGTGTGGGTTCGAACCCCGGATGGGACTCAACCCCCAAAAAGTACTACAATCTGTACTTTACTAAGAAAGTGTAATCTCAAATATAACATACGTTACATATACTGACTGATTGTCTGAGTTTGGTGTTACGCCGCTTTTAGCAATATTCCAGCAACATCACGGCGGGGGACACCAGAAATGGGCTTCACGCATTGTGCCCATGTGGGGATTCGAACCCGGGTTTTCGGCGTGACGAGCCAACGCTTTAACCATTAGGCTACCCCACCGCCCCCGTTACATATACGTACATATATATAACTATGGAAAGTAAGTGTCTATTGGATCAATATGTATGTTGTTATCTACATAATGTAGTAAGCCCCCATGGTCCACTGTATGGTGATCTACCTTCAGTTGTTGTCAGTCTATAGCCTGTTTTATATTGTATCGTCATTTATAGTTAAAATATTTTAGATTTAATTACTAGTCTTAAATTTATTCCTGCGATATTCTATATAGTTGTTTTACTGTCCTTTGTAGACGGGTAAGTATATTTAATTTATATAAGTTTGTTTTTATTCATATATAATTTTATGACTTCCTTACTCACAATATGGCTGAAATACTGCGGATGTGACCTTAAATTTTAACTCGCTCGGCATTATAAATCATACACACATGGACACAATATAACAACACCCGACATTTTTCATAGAATCAACGTGTTACCAATAACCGGAACATTGAACCCACTGTCTCTCTAGACTGACACTCAGCGAGTAATAAAGGGGCAACTCTAAATGCAAGAAGAACGAAAAACTGTGTCAGATCAGCAAACATGGCTCATTTTGTAGCGTTGTTAACCATGACTCTATGACGTTACGGCGTGCTGTCATTTTCACGATTCTGGCATACACTCCTCAACAATGACCATAGCAGTAACAATAATTGACGGTGACGGTCTGTAAATAATCGAGTCTGGACCAGACAGTGATCAACAGCATGAGCATCGATCTACGATTCGATGTCAAGCAAGTCAGAGAGAATATTTATGTTTCAGTGGTAGTGTATCTCTTTGACCTTTCTTTCTGTGCTACGGACCGTAAATTAAATTTAGGTATGTGAAGCCTAAGTTACTAGTAGTTATGTATCAACGATAGTAAATCGAAACCAAATCGGCACACATCCATCCACACTTCAGGTAGGACAGTCGTGCTCAAGACAGAGTTCCCGAGGTTACCACCAGGTCATTTTAACGCAAGAAGATATATTGAAACATGTTTATAATACGTTTCCCATATTCAACGAAGTAATCATTTTCCCCACGAAAGCAAAATACAACTAAACCTTCAGCAAATGACAACATGAATTTAACGATGTGTGTAGTCTGATATAATAATGCAAAGCCCACTCTAAGCGAAAACCAAATAGTTCCACAGAATAGTAGCAAAAACAGAAAATGAAGTGATTAAAATATTTTGATTGGTCGTTCTGAACCCTAAGTCCAGCAGCAATGTCTTCATATTACACATAAACAAATAGCACATGTTGCACATCCACGTCAGTCACGTATAAACGGCGTACATCAGACTGCAAAACCTGGGCCAGATCTGGCTGTAATGAAGACGCTTCAACCACGTATCACAGCTTAACTTTCGCGTACTGCCATCACTCTAATGGTCAGGATCAGCTGATGATCTTTTAGGAATGTTCAAATAAAGTAGTTCCATTTCCTGAATCAACACACTTTTAACTAACGACACATCCATGCTGCAGATGCCCTAGAGTCTCGGTCTTCTGATCCTGGTATCGGCCTGACCCCTTCTGGGAAGGGAGATGACATTACGTCGGTATTCCTGTGACGAAGTGCCTACAATGGGAGGGTGATCAATAGCTATTCGACAATCTCTATCATATATGTAAATGATTTCTTATCCGCCTTCCACTGTACGTTACTGAGTGACACACATGCTTACAACAGAACTAGATGGCATTAATTAGTATCACATGTCAGTAGAATAAATGCGTTTCACCGCTTAACACGACGTGATCTGTGTAATGTCTGCATTATCGAGAACTGTCACAAGGCAGTTATTGTATTATTTCCAGGTTAAACGTCGAAGCAATGCGTGCATGAGCTATTATATAAAGACAACGTGGAATTCCCAACAGAAACTTGTCGCTGAAATGATCACAAATACGTAATGGATACATGTAAGGATATATCTGGGCTTTTCCGATCAATTTTACGCGAACGTAACACTTGAGTTTTTATAGACATGCTCAAAACGTCGACAGCAGTAAGCAACAGATTTTCTGATTGTGTTTTGGTCGCCCCACCATACTACAGTCAATTTATTTTGCAGCTATCACTGGAAGTGTCTCCCGATTGATTGAAATACGGTTCTGTAATTGACACAAGTGTCTGCCAGAACGTATGTAAACATGTTTGATTGGGAAAGCCAGAAAAACGTGCCACAAGACTAAACCATTATGTTAATTGTACTCTGAAGAGATTGCGGAGTAATTTGAGGGTGCACTTGTGGCCTAAAATATACAGATTAGTAAAGCTGTAGTTTTACTGATGTTACGCAACACATTTGACTTAAGGAATTGAAATATGCACGTCCGTTGTTTTGTTATCATGACATTAGTATTACACTGTATTAGAATTGATGCTCTCAGTCTTTTCTTCAGAACGGCTTCAGGCGTATATATGATCCGACAATTTTCACAAATTTTTCAAGGGTGACTATGTCTTGTTAAGTTTTGTTTAAGTAAAAAGCTTTCATATTTAATGACTATATAGTTGCATTATCAACAATAAATATGTATTGTGTGTGCATAAATGTAGGTATATAGACAGATAGACATTATATACTATTTCAAAAAAGGAAACGCATAACCCAGAAATCTGCTGCGAAAATGCTGCATTTTCAAACATGTATAACTCGTCCACAAATAGACTTTAGAAGAAGGTAATGTCTATACAACCAAGTGGATAATTTTAGATAACGGAGACGCTGAGCGCGATAGTGACCACGTAGCATGGTTCCGACGTCGGGTCTCCTGGCTCTCAGTCCAATCTCACTCAACCTGTTCCGTACAGTTTGACCGGTTATCCTCCGAAGTCCAGGCACCCTGGCTGCTGTGCTCTCACCCGCGGCAGTACGATCACTCAAATGTAATACCCGGATGTACCGATCTTGGGCTGCAGTGGTGACTCGAGGTCTGCCTGTACGGGGACGGTCATTTGTTATACCTGTTTGGTTGTAACGAGCTGCAAGCAGTGATATCGTGCTCAGACTAACATTCAGACGCCTGGCAACAGAAAATTGGTAATCTCCAGCGTGCATTCTTTCAATGGCGATGTTCCGTGTCTCAGTGTCAAGACTTGGCCTAGTGATTTGACCTTGAAACTCCTTCAAAACGGATGCCGATTTCCGAAAGTAATCTGGATTTTTATAGCCAGACAGTGCATGCTCCTTGTTGCACAATTTCAACTGGGGGTGATTTCTGTTACGTTGTGGCGATGCCTTTTTAATTCCTGTAAGAAATATCATCAAAATCAACATTTTCAGGTAAAGTCGACTTTTCACTTGGCAATTGTGTAAAATCATGTTATCAACACTTTTGATTGTTTGAACACAAAAGGTAATTAATAGATTTTAAAAAATACAATACGCCTTTGCGTTTCGTTTTTTGGATAGTATATTAACGAAAAGAAGTAAACGATTAACAATGTCAATATCAGGTTCGACCAGCACGTGTATTTACACAGTCGAGGCCGAGGCGGCGCAATAACGTCACCGACCTGGACAATGTTGTGCAAACAAAGATTGGCGCAACGGGCTAACGTTACCTGATGGTTCTGATCCTGTCGTAGGCGTCCACACATCCCTTTCAAGACATTCTGTGGGGGAGAGGTCTACCGAAAAAGGAAACCGTGACAATTCAGAAATGTTCTGCTGCCTCAAAATGTCTAATACTATGGGCGGGTTGCATTCTGCTGCAAAGTGGTTTTCTATCCCTTCTCTTACACTACTGGAACATGGCCACGAACAGTGTACTGGTAACGTACGCCAATGAAATAGCATCTGAAATTTACTAACACTAAATCCAACATTTGCATCCGACATTTATTGAGAAGACAATAACTGAACTATCAGACTGCCTCTATGTAAAATGTGGGTGTAACCCATCTTGGAAAGAAGTCGGCATTCTCATTGGTACATATTGTGCTCCCCTTCTTGTGGATCTGTCTGTATCTATTGTGTATCAGTTAGAATGTTTGATCTTGGGTCATTCAGAGGCCATCAACAACTAATTCAACGGATTTACCCAACTGAACTACAAATACAGAAGGGCAGTGAAACCGCCTCATCTGTTTCATAGTTAGACCCAAGCGTAAAGATTCAAATTTCAAAGAGTAACCAAATGTCTGTACAAAGATGGATGACGTCAACTTTCCCTCTAAATTCCTGCAGTGTTCTCGGACCTGTTCTCCTGGTCTTGAGATCAGACTATCATTAAATCTGAACTAAATTAATACTATAAATCATGGGTGGTAAAGGTTCACAATGGTATATGAGTAACTAAATGTAACAATCGACAGGCAGTCAAAGGGTTTAAGACCCCAGCTAACACTGATTACGAATCGGTGGGTAGAAACGATGGCCAAACACACAACCAGAGCAACCGAGCAAAGGTGTAACTGCTGTTACTAATGATAGGTAAAACTACTCTCGGACAAGAAAATCGGCTTGATGTACCGGCAGCCAAATAAGTCGGTTGTGACCAATAATCACCTCTACAGAGCCAGTAACCTCGGCTCGGTCAGTCAAATTCTGAAATATTCGCATGGACATTAAGAGCAGGCGAACACTCCTATATGGAAGTCTAGTCTGAGCAACGATTTACTGACCAAAAGAGTAACATGACTTATAAAGGTAACTGACCTAATGCTATGTAATCCCGGGAAACGGGTTACTCAATAATTCCCAGAAATACAGGGTATAACATGTGACACCCAAGCTAATAAGTTTGGCTCGGGAACATCAGACGTAAAGGATCAAAATTACCTCCTTATTACCTACTGCCCACCTGCTAACAGTAAGATCCGTAATTACCTACTGCCCACCTGGTAACAGTACGATCCGTAATTACCTACTGCCCTCCTGGTAACAGTACGATCCGTAATTACCTACTGCCTTCCTGGTAACAGTACGATCCGCAGTGAACTGTGAAGATCCGGGTTAGATGCCACCGTATCCCAATTGCGTAGATCGATGCTCATGATGTTGATCACTGGATTGTCTGGCCCAGACTCCATCATTTAATATTTATTTACAGCTATTTATTCATAGCTGCAATATTGCTGAGCGCAGCGTTAAACAACATACAACAACACCCGTAACAGTACAACCCCTGTAGATGGCTACGCATACGTTCTTGTATGGACGTCGCTGGCTTGCAGGGTCCCATAATGTCCCAGGGAATAACCAGAATTGTGTTTTCTGAAAGAGTAGTTGTACTCGAACCGAACTATCAAAGTAATAGGTGTGATGTAGGTTCATGAATAAAGGGCTCGCAATGGGCTTCCCACCCGCACCAACAAACGATCCCATTCAGATATGTACAGTTCGTAAAGTGGCAAAAATGACCATAAGTACATGAGAAATATTTGTACAATACAAGTTAATCACTACGTGAAAACAGTGATACAGTCATGCACAAATACATGAAAACGCGGGGAAGGTGAAGCAGCTACAGTCTTATGGGATTACATTCAAGAACTTTCGAGGTCCAACTGACCATGCTACATTCAGCATGATTTCAAAGAAAACCACACAAACGAATCTTTCTCGGATCAAGGTTACAACATTCAATGGCTCAATAAAGCTTTCAATACTTTTATGATAGACATGTACACACCAGTTTCAGTAATTTCCCTCTTTTGGAAGTACACCATGTGTCGTGCTATTTTCTTGACTAGCCCTTGCATGTATTTATGACGGGTGCTACCAATACTCAGGATATGCTCACCTTTTCCCAAACATCTGGTATGATCACTCTTTGGTAATGATTCATAAACACATGTTCGTGATTCTGTTGTAATCGTACAATCGACTGTAGATGTAGCAAGGGAATTGTCGCTGATATTCATCCGAATCTGATGACGCTGAGCAAATCACACATCACTGAAACGTGGTCCTGGAACGTGACCTGTTGACCCAAGCCGTCCATAAGAGATGTCCAGGTTAAACCTGGACTTACATGTGAACTGTGTACGGCTCAACCTGGTCTTCCGAACTTCGGACACTCTCCAGACCAGACTGGGCGTGCCTGTTGGTAATGTGGAAGCCGTATTGGGCGTAACACTGGGCATGGGGCTCGGATGATCTGTTCCCTCAAATGACTGCGTTCGGTTCTGTGACGGATTTGTCTCAACCCAGGAATTGTCCTAGCTGTGACAGTTTGGTATCGATTATTTACATGCAGCAAAGTTGTTGGCGTGACATCGTATATGGACTACCAGTCCGTTGCACTTCTCATAGCCATACTGTATAATTATGATATTGATAATATCTTGTCTTAAATTCAAACAGACAAAATCACTTGGTTTCATAAGCAGTGCTCCTTAAGTAACGCATACAGTGTTTAGTTTGGCATACTAACAAGTTCGTGATGCTGTTATTTGCTTGTCTGGGTTATTTCTATCTACTACTGCCAGACAATTAAAGGGATTTTCATCTATATTTCAGATATCAGGAATTCTTTGATTCCTATCTAGTTACAATTTATTACTTTCGCACAGAGACATGGCATTGGTGTTACGGGGGTGTTACGGGCTACTTCGTGTTCTTCCGTCTTGAAAGCTGATTTTATATATGGACTAAAGTGTTGTGAGAACATGTCAGAATTAATGCAGATGATCTGATAAAATGTTCTATGCTCAAGCTTTTTTGTGACGGTAAACCTTCTATATTCATTATACTGGAGAATATTCTCTTAGTTCTAATATATATGATCTATGTCCTCTTCTTCATCTAAGCATATGTATCTCAAGCACACTATGACATTGCTGAAGCATGAAATCCTGTCTTACAATGTTTCATGTTGTTTTGTAACTCAAACCAATAAGATTCACAGAGTTTCCACTAGTATCTGTCTACAGAATCCCCAGTGTCTGGCTTCAGGAAAACCTAATGAGGGTAGCTGAAATGTGTATGTTCTGTAATGTCCGCAACAGTATCATATCATACTGATAGACTGACTGAGTTTGGTTTTACGCCGCTTTTAGCAATACTCCAACAATATCACGGCGGGGGACACCAGAAATGGGATTCACTCATTGTACCCATGTGGGGATTCGAACCCGGGTCTTCGGCGTGACGAGCCAACGCTTTAACCACTATACTACCCCACCGCCCCGTATCATATCATATCATATCATATATGAGTCTGATGAAATTGTTGAGGCTGACTTTATGACAAGCGTTCATATAGTCCATGATTTAATTAATCGATATCTGAAATGATGGTACACATGAATCATACTGTTTTCATGTTCAAAAACATTAATACAAGTTGACGGGATATTTCATGGTTGAACAGGCTCAAAATATCATGATAGAAATTGTAGTGACAGAGAAGTTAAGAGTTACACACTGATGTTCAACATTGTCTGAACCTAACATTCATCAAAAATGCATCAGCAATCTCTGGCGAATTCAATACGTAAGCGTACATCGTGGCGGATCGGAATTAAATTGTAAGTACGCTTGCTATCTCAAAGTCGCGTCTAGTTATGACTTGGGTGACGGTTTTACTTAACTCAAAGACATGATATTATGAGAAACTACTTCTACACGACCTTAACGGGAAATCCGATACGTATGAGGTTTTCATGTACTGACGGAGAAATGTCAGGGACACCCGATATCCAAAGCAGTGAATGTTGTCAGGAATACTTCAATATTGGTGTAAACCTCCTTACAAGTAACAGGAGTAGTTGGACAGTATTGCTTGGCAATGAAATCGTTATACCTACGGAACACGGCAATTAATCTGAACGTAAAAAACCATCTGATTCCAGATTGTTTCATGTCTCTAGCGCCGAACAGTGATACATATTTACCAATATCAGTTATTAATCTGTGAGTGGGTGAGATTATTATCCCAGTCATTCGACCTGAGTGCGCTCGATTATCATTCTCAGCTTACAAGGTCCTATACAACATATGAAGAAGGTTTACTGCCATGTCACCCTACCGGGTACCCAGTCACGGCTCTGGAAACAGAGGCACATCCACTTGCCTACGTGAAATTTACCATATCTGTCCAATTAAGTGAACTTCACGTTATCTGTGACCTGTTTGCTGTGAACGTGCGTCACCATGGCTACGTGGTAGAACGGTTGCACCACGTCTGTGACACACACAATGTACCAATCTACGACAGAGATACTACAACGACCTAAAAGCGACCTAAATTGTAAACGGTAATGCTTACGGTGTGTGTCGTTTTCATCATTGCTGGTTTAAAGTGAGTAGTTTCACATCAGTCTAATTAATTAGTGAGTGAGTGAGGTTAGTTTTACGCCGCACTCAGCAATATCCCAGCCATATGGCGGCGGTCTGTAAATAATCAAGTTTGGACCAGACAATCCAGTGATCAACAGCATGAGCATTGATCTGCGCAATTGGGAACCGATGACATGTGTCAAACAAGTCAGTGAGCCTGACCACCTGATCCCCTTTGTCGCCTCTTACGACAAGCATGGGTTACTGAAAATCAATATTCTAACTCAGACCTTCACGGGTCCTAATTAATAAGAGATAAATGAAGCACTGAATTGATACTTTGTTCCAGATATGGACAAACCGGCAAATACTATATGGTAAACAGTAGCCAAACTAACCTTTA